GAGACAGCGAAACACTGGGAGACAGCGAGACACAGAGAGACAACGAGACACTGAGAGACAGCCAGCCACAGAGACAGCGAGACACTGCGAGACAGCGAGACACAGAGAGACAGCGATCGAGCCACTGAGAGACAGCCAGCCAATGAGAGACAGCCAGCCAATGAGAGACAGCGAGACAAAGAGAGACAGCGAGACACAGAGAGACAGCGAGACACAGAGAGACAGCGAGCCACAGAGAGACAGCGAGCCACAGAGAGACAGCGAGACACAGAGAGACAGCGAGACACAGAGACAGCGAGCCACTGAGAGACAGCGAGCCAGAGAGAGACAGCGAGACACAGAGAGACAGCGAGACACAGAGAGACAGCGAGACACAGAGACAGCGAGTCACTGAGAGACAGCGAGACACAGAGACACAGCGAGCCACAGAGAGACAGCGAGACACAGAGAGACAGCGAGCCACTGCGAGACAGTGAACGTTGCACAACAGCTCTGTTGAACGCGGGACTATACAATTCCTGTTGTAATTTACAAAAGCAACTTTTCATCCGAGATTTATTTTCAATCCCTTTATTTTTTTCGGTTTCACAGTAACAAATAAATTAAACTTTTGTGATATTACTATTTCATTCACCTGGAGACCAGGCGGCCCCGTCGCGTCCCGGGGCGCTTAGATCTATTGGCTCTTCCGGAGAGTTTTATTATTTGTTTATAATTAGAGATAGAGAAAAGAAGGAGAATGGGAACATTAGCTGAGATAATAACAATGGGAAGTGTGCTATGACAGGGAGGGGTCGGAGCCCCCTAGATGCTGCTCACACGGGTGTTGGGTGTAGAGGAGCGGCTCACACGGGTGTTGGGTGTAGAGGAGCGGCTCACACGGGTGTTGGGTGTAGAGGAGCGGCGCACACGGGTGTTGGGTGTAGAGGAGCGGCGCACACGGGTGTTGGGTGTAGAGGAGCGGCTCACACGGGTGTTGGGGTGTAGAGGAGCGGCGCACACGGGTGTTGGGTGTAGAGGAGCGGCTCACACGGGTGTTGGGGGTCGAGGAGCGGCCCACACGGGTGTTGGGGGTGTAGAGGAGCGGCTCACACGGGTGTTGGGTGTAGAGGAGCGGCTCACACGGGTGTTGGGAACGGTCACACGGGTGAGGAGCGGCCCACACGGGTGTTGGGTGTAGAGGAGCAGCCCACACGGGTGTTGGGTGTAGAGGAGCGGCTCACACGGGTGTTGGGTGTAGAGGAGCGGCTCACACGGGTGTTGGGTGTAGAGGAGCGGCCCACACGGGTGTTGGGTGTAGAGGAGCGGCTCACACGGGTGTTGGGTGTAGAGGAGCGGCCCACACGGGTGTTGGGTGTAGAGGAGCGGCTCACACGGGTGTTGGGTGTAGAGGAGCGGCCCACACGGGTGTTGGGTGTAGAGGAGCGGCCCACACGGGTGTTGGGTGTAGAGGAGCGGCCCACACGGGTGTTGGGTGTAGAGGAGCGGCTCACACGGGTGTTGGGTGTAGAGGAGCGGCTCACACGGGTGTTGGGTGTAGAGGAGCGGCTCACACGGGTGTTGGGTGTAGAGGAGCGGCTCACACGGGTGTTGGGTGTAGAGGAGCGGCTCACACGGGTGTTGGGTGTAGAGGAGCGGCTCACACGGGTGTTGGGTGTGAGGAGCGGCTCAGAGAGAGCGGCGCACACGGGTGTTGGGTGTAGAGGAGCGGCTCACACGGGTGTTGGGTGTAGAGGAGCGGCTCACACGGGTGTTGGGTGTAGAGGAGCGGCTCACACGGGTGTTGGGTGTAGAGGAGCGGCTCACACGGGTGTTGGGTGTAGAGGAGCGGCTCACAACGGGTGTTGGGTGTAGAGGAGCGGCTCACACGGGTGTTGGGTGTAGAGGAGCGGCTCACACGGGTGTTGGGTGTAGAGGAGCGGCTCACACGGGTGTTGGGTGTAGAGGAGCGGCTCACACGGGTGTTGGGTGTAGAGGAGCGGCTCACACGGGTGTTGGGTGTAGAGGAGCGGCTCACACGGGTGTTGGGTGTAGAGGAGCGGCTCACACGGGTGTTGGGTGTAGAGGAGCGGCTCACACGGGTGTTGGGTGTAGAGGAGCGGCTCACACGGGTGTTGGGTGTAGAGGAGCGGCTCACACGGGTGTTGGGTGTAGAGGAGCGGCGCACACGGGTGGGTGTTGGGTGTAGAGGAGCGGCTCACACGGGTGTTGGGTGTAGAGGAGCGGCTCACACGGGTGTTGGGTGTAGAGGAGCGGCTCACACGGGTGTTGGGTGTAGAGGAGCGGCTCACTCGGGTGTTGGGTGTAGAGGAGCGGCTCACACGGGTGTTGGGTGTAGAGGAGCGGCTCACACGGGTGTTGGGTGTAGAGGAGCGGCTCACACGGGTGTTGGGTGCAGAGGAGCGGCTAACTCGGGTGTTGGGTGTAGAGGAGCGGCTCACACGGGTGTTGGGTGTAGAGGAGCGGCTCACATGGGTGTTGGGTGTAGAGGAGCGGCTCACACGGGTGTTGGGTGTAGAGGAGCGGCTCACACGGGTGTTGGGTGTAGAGGAGCGGCTCACACGGGTGTTGGGTGTAGAGGAGCAGCTCACACGGGTGTTGGGTGTAGAGGAGCGGCTCACACGGGTGTTGGGTGTAGAGGAGCAGCTCACACGGGTGTTGGGTGTAGAGGAGCAGCTCACACGGGTGTTGGGTGTAGAGGAGCGGCTCACACGGGTGTTGGGTGTAGAGGAGCGGCTAACACAGGTGTTGGGTGTAGAGGAGCGGCTCACACGGGTGTTGGGTGTAGAGGAGCGGCTAACACAGGTGTTGGGTGTAGAGGAGCGGCTCACACGGGTGTTGGGTGTAGAGGAGCGGCTAACACAGGTGTTGGGTGTAGAGGAGCGGCTAACACAGGTGTTGGGTGTAGAGGAGCGGCTAACACAGGTGTTGGGGGTAGAGGAGCGGCTAACACAGGTGTTGGGTGTAGAGGAGCGGCTCACACGGGTGTTGGGTGTAGAGGAGCGGCTAACACAGGTGTTGGGTGTAGAGGAGCGGCTAACACAGGTGTTGGGTGTAGAGGAGCGGCTTACACAGGTGTTGGGTGTAGAGGAGCAGCCCACACAGGTGTTGGGTGTAGAGGAGCAGCCCACACAGGTGTTGGGTGTAGAGGAGCAGCCCACACAGGTGTTGGGTGTAGAGGAGCAGCCCACACAGGTGTTGGGTGTAGAGGAGCAGCCCACACAGGTGTTGGGTGTAAAGGAGCAGCCCACACAGGTGTTGGGTGTAGAGGAGCAGCCCACACAGGTGTTGGGTGTAGAGGAGCGGCCCACACGGGTGTTGGGTGTAGAGGAGCACAAGGTGTTGGGTGTAGAGGAGCGGCCCACAGGTGTTGGGTGTAGAGGAGCAGCCCACACAGGTGTTGGGTGTAGAGGAGCGGCTAACACAGGTGTTGGGGGGTAGAGGAGCAGCCCACACAGGTGTTGGGTGTAGAGGAGCGGCCCACACAGGTGTTGGGTGTAGAGGAGCAGGCCACAAGGGTGTTGGGTGTAGAGGAGCAGCCCACACAGGTGTTGGGTGTAGAGGAGCAGCCCACACAGGTGTTGGGTGTAGAGGAGCAGCCCACACAGGTGTTGGGTGTAGAGGAGCAGGCCCACAGAGGAGCAGCCCACACAGGTGTTGGGTGTAGAGGAGCAGCCCACACAGGTGTTGGGTGTAGAGGAGCAGCCCACACAGGTGTTGGGTGCAGAGGAGCAGCCCACACAGGTGTTGGGTGTAGAGGAGCAGCCCAAAAGAGTGTTGGGTGTAGAGGAGCAGCTCACACAGGTGTTGGGTGTAGAGGAGCAGCCCAAAAGGGTGTTGGGTGTAGAGAAGCAGCCCACAAGGGTGTTGGGTGTAGAGGAGCAGCCCACAAGGGTGTTGGGTGTAGAGGAGCAGGCCACAAGGGTGTTGGGTGTAGAGGAGCAGCCCACACAGGTGTTGGGTGCAGAGGAGCAGCCCACACAGGTGTTGGGTGTAGAGGAGCAGCCCAAAAGGGTGTTGGGTGTAGAGGAGCAGCTCACACAGGTGTTGGGTGTAGAGGAGCAGCCCAAAAGGGTGTTGGGTTTAGAGAAGCAGCCCACAAGGGTGTTGGGTGTAGAGGAGCAGCCCACACAGATGTTGGGTGTAGAGGAGCAGCCCACAAGGGTGTTGGGTGTAGAGGAGCAGCTCACACAGGTGTTGGGTGTAGAGGAGCAGCTCACAAGGGTGTTGGGTGTAGAGGAGCTGCCCACAAGCGTGTTGGGTGTAGAGGAGCGGTTCACACAGGTGTTGGGTGTAGAGGAGCCGCTAACGCAGGTGTTGGGTGTAGAGGAGCAGCCCACACAGGTGTTGGCTGTAGAGGTGCAGCCCACACAGGTGTTGGGTGTAGAGGAGCCGCTAACGCAGTTGTTGGGTGTAGAGGAGCAGCCCACACAGGTGTTTGGTGTAGAGGAGCAGCCCACACAGGTGTCAACACCTGCGGGGGACCAGGGAGTAACGTCCGGGTGGAGATGAGCGGGGATTCGAAGATAATTTATTTAGCGTGTTCCTTAAGCCTTTAGCTGTGCCGCTCTCTCTCTGTGCCGCTCTCTCTCTGTGCCGCTCTCTCTCTGTGCCGCTCTCTCTCTGTGCCGCTCTCTCTCTATATTCACCTAGTTGTGCTTGCGGGGATTGAGCAGTGCTCTTCCGGCCCGCCTCTCAACTGTCTTTTTTTTCTCACACCACATACACCACCAGGAAGCAGCCCGTGACAGCTGACTAACTCCCAGGTACCTATTTACTGCCAGGTAATAGAGCCATCGAGGTGCCCATTGTTTCTCGCCGGCGACCGGATTCGAACCCGGAACCACAGGATCACGCGTCCAGCATGCTGTTCGCTCAGCCGCCGGCCCCGAGTATCTATACTCCTCTGTGTCTGTGTCGCTCTGTCTCTGTGCCGCTCTGTCTCTGTGTCGCTCTGTCTGTGTCGCTCTGTCTCTGTGTCGCTCTGTGATGTTCTGTCTCTATGCTGTTCTGTGTCTGTGTCGCTCTGTCTCTGTGTTGCTCTGTCTCTGTGCCGCTCTGTCTCTGTGCCGCTCTGTCTCTGTGCTGCTCTGTCTTTGTGCCGCTCTGTCTCTGTGTCGCTCTGTCTCTGTGTCGCTCTGTCTCTGTGCTGCTCTGTCTCTGTGTCGCTCTGTCTCTGTGCCGCTCTGTCTCTGTGCCGCTCTGTCTCTGTGCTGCTCTGTCTTTGTGCCGCTCTGTCTCTGTGCCGCTCTGTCTCTGTGCTGCTCTGTCTCTGTGTTGCTCTGTCTCTGTGCCGCTCTGTCTCTGTGTTGCTCTGTCTCTGTGCCGCTCTGTCTCTGTGCTGCTCTGTCTCTGTGCTGCTCTGTCTCTGTGCCGCTCTGTCTGTGCTGCTCTGTCTCTGTGTTGCTCTGTCTCTGTGCTGCTCTGTCTCTGTGTTGCTCTGTCTCTGTGCTGCTCTGTCTCTGTGTTGCTCTGTTTCTATGCCGCTCTGTCTCTGTGTTGATATGTTTCTGTGCTCCTCTGTCTCTGTGCTGCTCTGTCTCTGTGCTGCTCTGTCTCTGTGCTGCTCTATCTGTGCTGCTCTGTCCCTGTGCCGCTCTGTCTCTGTGCTGCTCTGTCTCTGTGTTGCTCTCTGTGCCGCTCTGTCTCTGTGCTGCTCTGTCTCTGTGTCGCTCTGTCTCTGTGCCGCTCTGTCTCTGTGCTGCTCTGTCTCTGTGCTGCTCTGTCTCTGTGTTGCTCTGTCTCTCTGTTTCTGTGCCGCTCTGTCTCTGTGCTGCTCTGTCTCTGTGCTGCTCTGTCTCTGTGCTGCTCTGTCTCTGTGTTGCTCTGTCTCTGTGCCGCTCTGTCTCTGTGCCGCTCTGTCTCTGTGTTTCTGTGCTGCTCTGTCTTTGTGCCGCTCTGTCTCTGTGCCGCTCTGTCTCTGTGCTGCTTTCTCTGTGCTGCTCTGTCTCTGTGCCGCTCTGTCTCTGTGCTGCTCTGTCTCTGTGCCGCTTTCTCTGTACCGCTCTGTTTTTCTGTGCTGCTCTGTCTCTGTGCTGCTCTGTCTCTATGCCGCTCTGTCTCTGTGTCGCTTTCTCTGTACCGCTGTCTCTGTGCCGGTCTGTCTCTGTGCTGCTCTGTCTCTGTGTCGCTCTGTCTCTGTGCCGCTTTCTCTGTACCGCTCAATCTCTGTGCTGCTCTCTCTGTGTCGCTCTGTCTCTGTGCCGCTCTGTCTCTGTGCTGCTCGCTCTCTGTGTCGCTCTGTCTCTGTGCCGCTTTCTCTGTACCGCTCTGTCTCTGTGCCGCTCTGTCTCTGTGTCGCTCTGTCTCTGTGCTGCTCGCTCTCTGTGTCGCTCTGTCTCTGTGCCGCTTTCTCTGTACCGCTCTGTCTCTGTGCCGCTCTGTTTCTGTGTCGCTCTGTCTCTGTGCATCTGTGTTGCTCTGTCTCTGTGTTGCTCTGTCTCTGTGTTGCTCTGTCTCTGTGCCGCTCTGTCTTTGTGTCGCTCTGTTTCTGTGTCGCTCTGTCTCTGTGTATCTGTGCTGCTCTGTCTCTGTGTTGCTCTGTCTCTGTGCCGCTCTGTCTCTGTGTTGCTCTGTCTCTGTGCCGCTCTGTCTCTGTGTCGCTCTGTTTCTGTGTCGCTCTGTCTCTGTGTATCTGTGCTGCTCTGTCTCTGTGCTGCTCTGTCTCTGTGCTGCTCTGTCTGTGCTGCTCTGTCTCTGTGCTCTCTGTCTCTGTGCTGCTCTGTCTCTGTGTTGCTCTGTCTCTGTGCCGCTCTATCTCTGTGCTCTGTCTCTGTGTTGCTCTGTCTCTGTGCTGCTCTGTCTCTGTGCGCTCTGTCTCTGTGCTGCTCTGTCTCTGTGTTGCTCTGTCTCTGTGTTGCTCTGTTTCTGTGCCGCTCTGTCTCTGTGCTGCTCTGTCTCTGTGCTGCTCTGTCTCTGTGTCGTCTCTGTGTTGCTCTGTGTTCTGTCTCTGTGCCGCTCTCTGTGCCGCTCTGTCTCTGTGCTCTCTGTCTGCGCTCTGTCTCTGTGCCGCTCTGTCTCTGTGTGCGCTTTCTCTGTCTCTCTGTCTCTGTGCCGCTCTGTCTCTGTGCTGCTCTGTCTCTGTGCCGCTTTCTCTGTACCGCTCTGTCTCTGTGCCGCTCTGTCTCTGTGTCGCTCTGTCTCTGTGCTGCTCTGTCTCTGTGCCGCTTTCTCTGTACCGCTCTGTCTCTGTGCCGGTCTGTCTCTGTGCCGGTCTGTCTCTGTGCTGCTCTGTCTCTGTGCCGCTTTCTCTGTACCGCTCAATCTCTGTGCTGCTCTCTCTGTGTCGCTCTGTCTCTGTGCCGCTTTCTCTGTACCGCTCTGTCTCTGTGCCGCTCTGTCTGTGCTGCTCGCCTCTGTGTCGCTCTGTCTCTGTGCCGCTTTCGTACTCTCTGTCTCTGTGCTGCTCGCGCTCTCTGTGTCGCTCTGTCTCTGTCTCTGTGCCGCTTTCTCTGTACCGCTCTGTCTCTGTGCCGCTCTGTTTCTGTGTCGCTCTGTTTCTGTGTCGCTCTGTCTCTGTGCATCTGTGCTGCTCTGTCTCTGTGTTGCTCTGTCTCTGTGTTGCTCTGTCTCTGTGTTGCTCTGTCTCTGTGCCGCTCTGTCTCTGTGCCGCTCTGTCTCTGTGTTGTTCTGTCTCTGTGCCGCTCTGTCTCTGTGTTGCTCTGTCTCTGTGCCGCTCTGTCTTTGTGTCGCTCTGTTTCTGTGTCGCTCTGTCTCTGTGTCGCTCTGTCTTTGTGCCGCTCTGTCTTTGTGCCGCTCTGTTTCTGTGTCGCTCTGTCTCTGTGCATCTGTGCTGCTCTGTCTCTGTGTTGCTCTGTCTCTGTGTTGCTCTGTCTCTGTGTTGCTCTGTCTCTGTGCCGCTCTGTCTTTGTGCCGCTCTGTCTTTGTGCCGCTCTGTTTCTGTGTCGCTCTGTCTCTGTGCATCTGTGCTGCTCTGTCTCTGTGTTGCTCTGTCTCTGTGCCGCTCTGTCTCTGTGCCGCTCTGTCTCTGTGCCGCTCTGTCACAGTGTCGCTCTGTCTCTGTGCCGCTCTGTCTTTGTGCCGCTCTGTCTCTGTGCCGCTCTGTCTCTGTGCCACTGTCTCTGTGTCGCTGTCTCCCGTCTCTGTCTTATAAGCTTAACGTATATGAATACACTCTGGCTTCCTGTCCCCCTACACAATGAATTATTCTTATTCTTAAGTTAGTTAATACATTCATAGGGAATTTGCAGTAACTTGGAAGTTAAGAAAATAACAATGAAACTTAAACACAATTATTAAATATAATTTTTATATAACATGGTTCTACTAGTCATTAGAAGATGACAAAGATGCTTGTTTGCTCTGCTTTCGAATACTTCTTTTGTTTGGGGAATTGTTTACTTCAATAAATGTGTAGACACAAATCTGTTTTTCTATGTTTGTAGTGCATGTTTGTATAGATTTAGTCACACATAGAGAATACGACATATATTTGTTGCTGTAACATGTAAATGGTATTAGAATAAAGTGGATTATTCTGATTATGGATTCCATGCTGGAGCTGCATACTTCAGAATTGGTCTAGCATACGTGGTATACAAGGTTCTGATCCTGATAACGACGCTGTCAACATGCTAAGTTCGTACTGTGGCTCCCTCTTAAGTCATTAATGTAATGGAATTTATATAAACTTTCCCCTTCATATATGTTCAGCCGTTTGTGGATATCGCTATTGATTTAATGCGATTAAATTGTATTTATGTTGGTGTGTGTATTTGCGGGAGTGTAGGAGTCATCAAGAAGTATTTATGGGGGAGTGTAGGAGTCATCAAGAAGTATTTATGGGGGAGTGTAGGAGTCATCAAGAAGTATTTATGGGGGAGTGTAGAAGTCATCAAGAAGTATTTATGGGGAACTGTAGGAATCATCAAGAAGTCTTTATGGGGGAGTGTAGGAGTCATCAAGAAGTATTTATGGGGGAGTGTAGGAGTCAAGAAGTCTTTATGGGGGAGTGTAGGAGTCATCAAGAAGTCTTTATGGGGAACTGTAGGAGTCATTAAGAAGTCTTTATGGGGGAGTGTAGGAGTCATCAAGAAGTCTTTATGGGGGAGTGTAAGAGTCATCAAGAAGTATTTATGGGGGAGTGTAGAAGTCATCAAGAAGTCTTTATGGGGGAGTGTAGGAGTCATCAAGAAGTCTTTATGGGGGAGTGTAGGAGTCATCAAGAAGTATTTATGGGGGAGTGTAAGAGTCATCAAGAAGTCTTTATGGGGAAGTGTAGGAGTCATCAAGAAGTATTTATGGGGGAGTGTAAGAGTCATCAAGAAGTATTTATGGGGGAGTGTAGGAGTCATCAAGAAGTATTTATGGGGGAGTGTAGGAGTCATCAAGAAGTATTTATGGGGGAGTGTAGGAGTCATCAAGAAGTCTTTATGGGGGAGTGTAGGAGTCATCAAGAAGTATTTATGGGGAGTGTAGAAGTCATCAAGAAGTATTTATGGGGGAGTGTAGAAGTCATCAAGAAGTATTTATGGGGGAGTGTAGAAGTCATCAAGAAGTATTTATGGGGGAGTGTAGAAGTCATCAAGAAGTATTTATGGGGAGTGTAGGAGTCATCAAGAAGTCTTTATTGGGGAGTGTAGGAGTCTATCAAGAAGTCTTTATGGGAGAGTGTAGGAGTCATCAAGAAGTATTTATGGGGGAGTGTAGGAGTCATCAAGAAGTATTTATGGGGGAGTGTAGGAGTCATCAAGAAGTATTTATGGGGGAGTGTAGGAGTCATCAAGAAGTATTTATGGGGGAGTGTAGAAGTCATCAAGAAGTATTTATGGGGGAGTGTAGGAGTCATCAGAAGTATTTATGGGGGAGTGTAGGAGTCATCAAGAAGTATTTATGGGGGAGTGTAGGAGTCATCAAGAAGTATATATGGGGAGTGTAGGAGTCATCAAGAAGTATTTATGGGGGAGTGTAGGAGTCATCAAGAAGTATTTATGGGGGAGTGTAGGAGTCATCAAGAAGTATTTATGGGGGAGTGTAGGAGTCATCAAGAAGTATTTATGGGGGAGTGTAGGAGTCATCAAGAAGTATTTATGGGGGAGTGTAGGAGTCATCAAGAAGTATTTATGGGGGAGTGTAAGAGTCATCAAGAAGTATTTATGGGGAACTGTAGGAGTCATCAAGAAGTATTTATGGGGGAGTGTAGAAGTCATCAAGAAGTATATATGGGGGAGTGTAGGAGTCATCAAGAAGTATTTATGGGGGAGTGTAGTAGTCATCAAGAAGTATATATGGGGGAGTGTAGGAGTCATCAAGAAGTATTTATGGGGGAGTGTAAGAGTAGTCAAGAAGTATTTATGGGGGAGTGTAGGAGTCATCAAGAAGTATTTATGGGGGAGTGTAGGAGTCATCAAGAAGTATTTATGGGGGAGTGTAGGAGTCATCAAGAAGTATTTATGGGGGAGTGTAAGAGTCATCAAGAAGTATTTATGGGGGAGTGTAGGAGTCATCAAGAAGTATTTATGGGGGAGTGTAGGAGTCATCAAGAAGTCTTTATGGGGAGTGTAGGAGTCATCAAGAAGTCTTTATGGGGAGTGTAAGAGTCATCAAGAAGTCTTTATGGGGAGTGTAAGTGTCATCAAGAAGTATTTATGGGGAGTGTAAGAGTCATCAAGAAGTATTTATGGGGAGTGTAGGAGTCATCAAGAAGTCTTTATGGGGAGTGTAGGAGTCATCAAGAAGTATTTATGGGGGAGTGTAGGAGTCATCAAGAAGTATTTATGGGGGAGTGTAGGAGTCATCAAGAAGTATTTATGGGGGAGTGTAGGAGTCATCAAGAAGTATTTATGGGGGAGTGTAGGAGTCATCAAGAAGTATTTATGGGGAACTGTAGGAGTCATCAAGAAGTATTTATGGGGGAGTGTAGGAGTCATCAAGAAGTATTTATGGGGGAGTGTAGGAGTCATCAAGAAGTATTTATGGGGGAGTGTAGGAGTCATCAAGAAGTCTTTATGGGGAACTGTATGAGTCATTAAGAAGTATTTATGGGGGAGTGTAGGAGTCATCAAGAAGTATTTATGGGGAACTGTAGGAGTCATCAAGAAGTCTTTATGGGGGAGTGTAAGAGTCATCAAGAAGTATTTATGGGGAGTGTAGGAGTCATCAAGAAGTATTTATGGGGGAGTGTAAGAGTCATCAAGAAGTATTTATGGGGTCTTTATGGGGAGTGTAGGAGTCATCAAGAAGTATTTATGGGGAGTGTAAGAGTCAACAAGAAGTCTTTATGGGGAGTGTAGGAGTCATCAAGAAGTCTTTATGGTGAGTGTAGGAGTCATCAAGAAGTCTTTATGGGGAGTGTAGGAGTTCATCAAGAAGTCTTTATGGGGAGTGTAGGAGTCATCAAGAATCTTTATGGGGAGTGTAGGAGTCATCAAGAAGTCTTTATGGGGAGTGTAGGAGTCATCAAGAAATCTTTATGGGGAGTGTAGGAGTCATCAAGAAGTCTTTATGGGGAACTGTAGGAGTCATCTAGAAGTCTTTATGGGGGAGTGTAGGAGTCATCAAGAAGTCTTTATGGGGAACTGTAGGAGTCATCAAGAAGTCTTTATGGGGAACTGTAGGTGTCATCAAGAAGTCTTTATGGGGAGTGTAGGAGTCATCAAGAAATCTTTATGGGGAGTGTAGGAGTCATCAAGAAGTCTTTATGGGGAACTGTAGGAGTCATCAAGAAGTCTTTATGGGGAACTGTAGGAGTCATCAAGAAGTCTTTATGGGGAACTGTAGGAGTCATCAAGAAGTCTTTATGGGGAGTGTAGGAGTCATCAAGAAATCTTTATGGGGAGTGTAAGAGTCATCAAGAAGTCTTTATGGGGAACTGTAGGAGTCATCAAGAAGTCTTTATGGGGAACTGTAGGAGTCATCAAGAAGTCTTTATGGGGAACTGTAGGAGTCATCAAGAAGTCTTTATGGGGGAGTGTAGGAGTCATCAAGATGTGAGTGTTTCAAGATTGTGTTAGTGGCGAAGTTGAGGAGAATGTGACGTATCTTCTTCTTGAAGTTATCTTGAGATGATTTCGGGGCTTAGCGTCCCCGCGGCCCGGTCCTCGACCAGGCTTCCTTTTTTGTTACACACCCCCAGGAAGCAGACCCTAGCAGCTGTCTAACTCCCAGGTACTTATATACTGCTAGATGAACAGGTGCATCAGCGAAAGAAACTGTGTCCACTCTGCCCGCTTCCAGCGGGGATCGAACCCGGAATCTTAGGACTACGAACCCCGAACGCTGTCCACTCAGCCAGCAGGCCCCGTAGACAACGGATTATTATTTTAGTTAGCCGGATCTGGATTGGGAATTGCGAATGGGATTTATAAATTAAAAATGGAAATTGGGAATGAAAATTGGGAATGAATTGAAAATGTGATTGTGGGTGGGAATACCTGAGAGGAGTGAGCCAGAGTCTGTCTCTTACCTCACCTGTAAAGACACCGCTAACAGACCCCCATAATGCATGTGGAACAGAATGATGACGGAACACAGAACTTAAACATATTTTGTCAAGAAACAGAAATTTCGACTGTTATTGTCCATTCAAATTTCGATTCCCGGATTCAACGAAAAGCCTTGTTACGATCCGAAGGACCAATTCTGGTGGCCGTAGATGGTACCCGCTGTGTGGGCAGCGGTGATTACAGACACGGATGGGGATTAATGGGCAGATAGGAAGATTTAATGGAACTCGGCCAATCAGAGAGGTGGTGTTAAACGTGTCCAATTGGTTTGTGGTTTGTGGTGTGAGAGGCTGTGGTGAGAGGTGCACGCAGAGTGGCGAGACGATTGTGATCATTCTAGTGATTGTGATGGTGAGAGCGGGAGATGCACCCAAAGTGATCAACCGATGATGAATATTACAGTGATGGTGATAGGAAGGGATGAGCTGGAAGTGATAAGACGATGGTGTTTGTGGTGTGGGAGGCAGGTGTTGGAGGTGAGGGAGGCAGGTGTTGGAGGTGAGGGAGGCGGGTGTTGGAGGTGAGGGAGGCGGGTGTTGGAGGTGAGGGAGGCAGGTGTTGGAGGTGAGGGGGCGGGTGTTGGAGGTGATGGAGGCGGGTGTTGGAGGTGATGGAGGCGGGTGTT